CAGTGAGACTACTGGTAGATTAGAATTACATTGAAGCAAGAGCTGATTTTGTAAGGATGGCTCTTTTATGCATCTTTTTATAAAAGATGGATATTAATAAAACAGGAGTCTATCTGAAAAATCAATCATGTGCAGTGTAAAGGCTCAGGGACTCTGGCATTTCTGGCATTTAAAAAAAAAAAATTACTATTGTGGTAGAAGTGCTTTCCAGAATGCTTTCTTCCATGCTGTTTTGCTGCTGCAGGATTATAGTAGGACCCATGCTTGAGTTTAGAAAAAAAAAACTACTACTTTTATTATTGACATAAAAACAAAATAAAACTACTTTCCCTTCCCTCTGTGCTCATACTCATATGAGGGGGAAAACATTTAAATAATGTTTCTGTGAATAATATTGGAAAAACTGATCAGAATGAAGCCGATGGAGAAGGCTGATGAAATATTTAGTTTTAGAATCATGTCCGAAGGATGTCTTTTTTTTTAATATCTCTAATACCTCCTCCGTGTTATATACAGTTTAAAAGAAATGTATGACCTCATCCATTTTTCATGTTCTCCCTGGAGGAATCATTCCATACTCATAACAGATTAATATGTTGCAGGAAAATAAAAAACAGTTATAAAAATTTGCAGAACCAGTCGCATAACAAAATATACTCTTCAGGAAGGTACATTTATCTACTTTATAACAGTTTCAAAAATGAATACTAATGATTTTTTTTTAATACTAAAACTTATACATATTCCAGATTCCAAATTTGTCATAAATTTACTGTGCAATGAAGAGAGTGGTGGGAAAAGCACTGGAACTGACCCCTTACTGCAGTACTTCAGAGAGAAAATAGAGAAAGGTGTGACCTGGTGCAGGTTGTGAACAGCTAGCTCCTACTTTGTTCTCCTCCTTTCCCTTGGAAAAATAGCCTGGGGTTTGCATCTATCTTTTTGCAAGGCACTTAAAGCACTCTACTTGCAGGTGACCATGCTTCTTTAAAAGCTTCTGTCTGTCCCAGTGATATACTGCATTAAAAAAAATCTGTATTTCACTGACCTTTGAAGAGCCATCCAGCTCATCGATGCAGCCTTGAATATTTTTAAAGTGCTTTTATTAAAATGTATAAATATTTTAATATTTAAATAATTATTTAAATATGTTGCATTATAATTTAACTATAATCAGCTTAGAAGGATGATGTTGTTTGGCCTCTCCTGTAGATTAGACAGTAAAGACAGTTAAATTTTGCACACTGAGACTGAGACAGTGGTGCTGTTTTTTTTCCACTGCATTTGTTTCTTCTTTTGGGTGGATGGTGTTAAATTAGATGCATCATGGATGTAGTATATTTGAGAAAATAATATGGAAGACACAAACATGAAAGTTAATTTTCAAAGGTGCCATTGTTAGTATTGTTTCCCTGTCCCTTTACCTTTCTAACTGCTGCTGTTTCTGTGATCATTAGATTAGTCAGAGCCAATAGAAGAGGTAGATAAGGCTCAAGCATCTGCAGCAAGGGGTGACATAAGGCTAATTTGGAAAACAAGCAGGGCTTCTGTCAAATGCTCACGTGGTAGAAGAATTCTTCCACTTTCAAGAATAGAAAAATTGTAAATAATTTTCTCCTGGAACATCTGAATTTTATAGGTTGGTGAGAAGTTAAACCATATCCTAAATGTGAAGTGTACAAACAATGAATGCAGTTGGCCTATGAATGTGGAAGAATTTAAAAGGTCTTATTCTTCATTGCCATGAGATACAATAATGTAGGATTTCAAAAGATTCTGGAATGGGTAGCCCTATTTTTAGTAATGTAGTACCTCAGAGAACAGGGTTGTTCCTGGAGAACCAGTAGACTATTTCCTCAAGTGACAGTCTATCTCTTGCCTGTAATGGCTAGTGAAAAAGTAAGGAATTTTACCTGCAGTACCTTTTACACCTGAAGTCTCAAGATTTATACTTGCTACAATGACACTACAGGATTTACAAAAGTGTGGACGTGCCCATTTGTCTAAGTAGCAGGTGGGTAGGGGCTGTTGTGGTTGAGGCAGGCAAAGTCAATGTCAGTGTCCAAATTCCCAGCCTGTTCCACTGAAAGGAATGATGCACGTGTGGGAATCTCAGTTTCAAACCTTTCTCCTTATGGATGCTAATGTAAAATACCTCCTCCTTTGATTATTTACTTGGGAATCTTAAGCCTAGTGGATCCTTGCAGAGGCTTTTTGCAGGATACCTCAATCTATTATGTGCTCTGTCTTCAAGATGCACAGAAAGCTTACAGGCACCTATAACTCTTTGTTTTGTTTTGGTTCAATGCTTTCTTTTTTGTAATGGCCAAGTGGCACCGTTCTTGATGAAGCATCCATCATCTGTCGATGTTGTTCAGTGCCTGGCACAAATAAAAATATTGCACAAAAGTGCAATAAAAAGGGCATTTTCTACCTAGCTGACAATTAATAAAGAATGTTTTTTATCTGATGGGATGCTATCTATTTTACAAAAAGTAACATTAATAGAAGATTTTCCTAAGTACCTATATCAAAACTCATTAACTGGTAAGAATTATCGTATTTTCATTAATGATTTTCCTTATATCCTTAGAAAAATGGGTCAATTTTCTGAACAAGCTCTGAGATTCATCTGATCTAAATTTGTCTGTCTTTAATGTCATCCAATTGTGTCACTAAAGGTATGCTATAATAACTAAGGTAAAGAATTGGCATTTTAGGGTGCAAATTCGGTTACCTTTTTTGACTAGCTACTTCAGGTTTAGGTGGGTTGCATTAAAAAGAAAATAATTTTTTTTTATCCACTGATTCTTAAAGGCAGCTTATTTTATTTTTATATTGTATGCATGATAAAATTGTAGAAATCAATCAGCATTAGGTCTGATGAATTTGAAACAGTACTTATGAATTTGATTTTTGACTTTTTTTTTTTTTTTCCTTATAGATTCATTCCAGAGTAAAAGTATGAATTAGAACAAGGTTCTGATGTATTTCAGCTTTTGGAGAAATTGATCACCTATTGACTCCTGTTAAATGACAATACACTTCCTACAGATTGTATTTCATGTTTTCCACTTGACTTTTGCTATAAAATGCAATTTATATATTTTTTTTTATTTTTACAGGTTAAATTCCATTGATGTTAAGTATCAGATGTGGAAATTGGGAGTTGTTTTCACTGATAATGTAAGCTTCACAGTATATACATATATGTATATATTCGTGTTCTAAAAAAAAAATATGCACTTGTTATCAAAGTGCTTCAATGAGAGCCATGAAATACTCTGGATTATATTTATTTTACTACAAGAAGTAAATCTTGAAAGCTTAAGGAGACATTGTCAAAATATTTTTACAATTACTTTGGTAGTAGTTAATAGAATCTCGGTCAATTCCTGCCCTCTTTCTGATACGCTTTACTAGAAGCAATAAGAAAGCACATCCCTGTAGAATTAGAAAACTGATTACATAAGTGCTAATTGCCATTTTTCTTATTGTTCATAAATATTATGAACACTTGACTATTCCTGGAGCACAGCAATGTAGTTAATGTATCTGGAATTGCTAAATTTGTATCACTGAAACCAATAGTAAGGTGTGCCACAGAAAGATACAAGTTATTTCAATAATTTGAAAAAGGAGTCTTTAAAAGCAAAAAAACAAGGAGAGATAAACAAGAATGTTAAAATGCAGTTTAAGAAGTCAGTCATCATGATTTTTCAGTCTTATGATTCTTGTTTGCCTGCTTACTTAATTTACTGGTAAAATAAACAATTAGGGAAAAATATTTTGGAGCTAGGACAGATGGAAAATGAAAGTGTAATCTGAAGGTATTCAGTAAGCCTCTGGGTCTAGATACAGCATGGTCTGTAAACAGTGTTTGGAGTATTTTTTTAAGGGATGGAGTATAATTTCTTTTATAAATACTGTCTTTAAGTTCAATAAAAACTAATTGATAGAGGATCTGATGAAGTTAACATTTTTGCTTTACTTAAATAATACTTATATGTTTAAATAGGCATTTTAGAAGTTCAAACAAATTACAAAATTCCTTTTGTTGCTTGCAGAGTACTATAATTATAATTAAATAACTTTGGGAATTAATATTTTAATGTAATACTTCAGAAATTTTTTTTTTAAGTAATTTAAATCAAAATATTTTTTTTGCAATAGAGACATTTAAAAATAAGGGTTTAAGAATTAGTTTTTATAATATAAAATTAGTTTTTAGTATAAAAATATTTTTTATAATAAAAAATTAGTTTTTATAAGTTTGGAATTTCTTGATTTTTCCCTTGTCTTGTTGACTTTGTATTTGAGGATTTAATATTGTTGCATGAATAGAAAATTCTCAACGATATCTAGAAAATTCTCTGTTTAAAAAGAACTGTTATCTATTTAATGAAAAGCATATTCGAGGAATTTCTACTTTTCCTTATTGTTGAATTAAGTTAAAGATGAAAGCCATGAATTTTATTTTGGATGTACTTGTTTTTCCTTTCAGTCTTTCCTTTACCTAGCATGGTACATGACCATGTCAGTCCTCGGCCATTACAACAATTTTTTCTTTGCTGCTCATCTCCTTGACATTGCAATGGGATTCAAGACATTACGAACTATCCTGTCATCAGTCACCCACAATGGCAAACAGGTATCAGCTGCCATCTCTTCTCAGCTTTTTTGCTTAAGGAGTACACAGGAAAGATCACTTCATTACTTGAGTCAGGTGCTCTGCAGGCTGACAACAGAAATGTTCTTCCATCATGAACTCTGGAACTTGAGTTGATGAGGAAACTAGGCAATGGGATTTGTAAGCAAAAGAAAAAGTATTCTCCCTTCTAAAAATAGTCCTGGAATTTTAGCAAATTACCTATGAATTAAGGGAGCATTATTTATAAGGAACTTTCTCGATCTGGGAGCTACACAAGTGAAGTATCAATTAACAAGATACTGGAGCTCCCTCCCATCTGCTTTCCATTAAGCTCAGAGAAAAATCTGAATGATGCTGCAACTGAGTGGCAGAGTACTTGGTGCTGCTTTTCTGAGATATTAAAATATTAGTAACAGGGTTTTTTTATATGTGATTTAATGCATATGAAAAAATGCTTTCCTATTAAATCAGTAGATAACTGTTTTTCAATTAACTATATATTTGGTGATAGTAATATTACTATTAGGTAGTGAATTTTCAGATTTTTTTATCTGATTATGGAGATTGCATATGATTTTAATAGATTATTCATTTTGTATCTGTCTATAAGATTTCTCTTTTTAATTATGTTTCTGAAACGTAGTCTTTGATCAAAATAAAATGAAACACACAATCTTTGCATGGGAATATGCAGATATATTACTCTGTGTTACAAAAATACAGAGATAGTAAAAGTCTTCCTGCTGCTTGTGTGTACAGTTTATTGTTAGTTTCCCTTTTTTGTTTAGTTCTGGGTGTTTTTTCTCTTTGTTTTTTTGTTTTTTGTTTTTTTATTAAAGAAAGAAAGAAACTATAAATCACAATTCCATAGTGGTGTTACACCCCTTCTGTAATTTTGTCTTTCAGCTTGTCCTAACAGTGGGACTACTGGCAGTAGTGGTATACTTGTATACAGTAGTGGCATTCAATTTTTTCCGCAAGTTCTACAACAAGAGTGAAGATGGTGATATGCCAGACATGAAATGTGATGATATGCTAACAGTAAGTCTTATTTTGCTTTCTGTTTGTTGGGTTTTTTTTTCCTCAAGCTGTTGTGGTTTTGTCCTGACCTTCTCATTAATTGGTATTCATACAGTCGCATCATTAGCCAGCAGGCAGGAAAGGTTACAGCTGAAGTCAAAGGGACAAATATGATGAACATCTTCAATAGAACTTGTGAATGCTCAGCAAACTCATCTATAAAGGAATAGAAGAAATATGGTGTTCAAAAAATGAAAAACAACTACAAGCTGTGAAACTGAGCTGCCTAAAGGGCAGCACTTCTGAATCTTGAAATTCGACAGCTCATTTAGGAGGAGGGTCAGTTACATGCAAGCATTTTCATAAGTAATGCAAATACTTAAACTCTTGTTTAAGCTCTGTCAGTTCATCTTAGCATGAATTGCCATAGTTATCTTTAATAGGAAGTTCAGTAACTGCTGTGTCCGGAACCACCTTAAAATATTTTGTACTAGCTATGATGGTGCCAGGTTTTGGAGTTATGGGTGGTAGGTAGAGCTTAATCCACAAAGAATTTCCAAAATGCATTGCCCTTAATATCTCTCCACAAACAATCATGTACAACAGTTAAATGTATTTCAATGTGCTATGTGGCATGAATCTTTTCCAGGGAGTCAACATTTAAAAGCGAAATAAATAGATAAACTGTTGAAGCCGAGTAGTATGTCTATATTTTTGTCTGGTTTGGGACATTTGGCACAACAAAATCAGATAAACTGGAGCACTAATCAGTGAAGGGCTGTTGAATTGTCAGGTGCTGGAGCACTTGCTGTGGGAAGAGAAGCGGAGGGAACTGGTCTGGTTTGGCCTAGAGAAGAGAAAGTCTCAGGGTTGAGGGTGTGTAAGGGGAGCTTCCAGTGTCTGCAGAAAGATTGCTGGGAAGACAAATCCAAAATTTCTAACAGGAAGTGCACGGCAGGAGAATGTGGATTTAAAGTGGAAAAATGTGTTCTGACTGAGGGGAGCCAAGCAATGGATCACATTGCTCTGAGAGGTTGTTGTGGTCTCCATCCTTAGGAAATTGTAATGAACTGACTAGGATAAAACCTAAATCAATTTTTTGAGGTTATACTGGGCCCTGCTTGAAGTAGAGACCTCATGAAGTCACCCTGACCTGACCTGCTCTGTAATTCTCTGAAAATACACGTACAACAAGACTATAATACTGTACAGGAATGAGTTAGAATAGCATGTGATATGCTGTAAATCAAGGTTGTCTCTTGTAAAAACACTTAGCCTTGAAATAGGATTTAAAAGAAAACGAATATACGTAATTTTTTAGAAATAAAACCCAAAAAATTTTAGGTAAGTAACACTACATTCACTCATTAAGGTAATTATTACCTTTCAGTTTCGGAGTATAAACTGTCTCTAGAAACTGTTAGATTTTTCAGGCAAGGGTCACTCAGAATTGTATGGTACTATATCAGTTTCTTACAGAAGGGATTTTAGGGACAGCACACCATAGAAATAGAAGAATTTTTATTTTTTTTTATGGTTATAATTTGGGAGTTAGTTATTGTTAGTTATTGTCATCACTGTTTTTTGATAGAGGGTGAGAACTTTTGACCTGTAGTTTTCAAAGCTGCCTAAAGAAAAAAAACAGTTCCCTGCTCTAGATCTCTGGGGAGTGATACCGTAATTTTCTATTAAATTATAACATAATAAAACTGGAAATTCTGTATTGTCAGCATCGCAGGCAACTGTAGTGACAGACCTATTACACCACTTTTCATATCATAGTTTCACAGTATTATTCTCAGACATTTTCAGTCATTAGCCCGTTCTCTGCACAAGCATTCACAAAGATTCTTTTGCTTGCCTGTGGGGTTATTTGTTTTATTTTGGCTTGGGGAGGAGGGCTGTTTATTTTTAAATTTGAATTTGAAACACTAAAAATGGGGCAAATAATTCACTTTTGAGCTAGGAAATTGGAAAAGGAGATGGCTATGGTAGTGATGATATTTCCTGTTTACACTGCTGAAATGATTTTACATGAATCATGGGGTGCTGCTGAGCTTCTGGTAGTTGAACTTTTGATCTTATTGAACTGCTACATAATGACAGAACATGAAATACTGCAGCTTCAGCTGCACAGCAGCATTTCCCCTCCATCAGAAATATGCATAATCTCAAAGGAGACAAAAAGACTTGACATATAATAGGTCCTAGACCATAGACCAGTTCTACCATTTCCTGAATTGGTAACTCTGGGAATTTTTGCTTTTAGCTGCAAACAGCCTTTGTATCCCTTTGTTTTGTCTTTTCTAGTGCTACATGTTTCACATGTATGTTGGAGTACGGGCAGGAGGAGGCATTGGTGACGAAATAGAAGATCCAGCCGGAGATGAATATGAAATCTATCGGATTATCTTCGACATCACTTTCTTCTTCTTTGTGATTGTCATCCTGCTTGCAATTATCCAAGGTATGCATTTGTAATCCACAGTGGGACTGAAAGCATTATTTAGCAGCACAAACATATTAGTGCAGTGGTAATCACAAACCTAAAATTCAGAATAGCAGGGCAGATAATGAAGGACAGATTTATATAGAAAATCACACCCAGATAACTCTTATACACTGCTCTTCTGAGCCTCTGTAAAATCAACAGGCTCCAACTGGATCAATAGAAACAAAATATATTTTTTGCCCTAAGAATACTGATGTCACTGCAGTTTCTGTCTTGTCATCGCCCTTTCTAAAAGCCTCCTACAGAAATCTTGTGGCACAACTTAAAATTGTCCTTCAGTGTAACCCATCCTATATAGATAAATCAGTACTGCTGTCAGAATTCTGCTGCCAGCAGCGTAAGTTCTTGACTCTCTGGCAGATCTTCTGATTGGTAGTAATGGTGTGAAAATTGGACCATAGCTTTAAGAGGTAAAATCTTTTCTTACATAAAAATTGCTGTTTTGTGTGATGCCTCCTTATTTGAACAATGTCTAAGAGTAAAAAAAGGGTGCCTGATATGAAACAGCTTTAGGATAGCCTGGTTAATGACAGCAGAAAGTTAGATTCCATTAGTTGGCTTTGGAATTTTAGGGAAACTGATTTGACTGATAGATGCGCTTCTCACTGTTGTAATCTGGACAGTGGATGCCTTATTTTGGCATATCAAGGATGGATATTTTTTATTATGTTTTCATTAATTATGTTTATTGTTAGTACCTGAAGTACTTAAATCCCTTTTAGTTTTCATACTGTACCTTTAAAGTATTGTGAAGAGGTCATTTTTTAATCAAGTTCACACAAGTTAACAAAAGTATATTCTCAATTTTGGAAAAATTGATAAATAGTTTTTCTGGGTTCACTTGCTGTCATAAATACTGATACCTCATTGCTTTCTGTGAGCTGACATCTAACAGGATAATTTTGACAGCAGTAAGGGTGCTTTCTCACTCACTACGAGGAAATTCAAAAGGCAACTTTGAGTTTGTGGTAAATTGTTTATTTCAATGGTCATTGTGAAATTAATCCTTATTTGTATTGGAGTGAGCCAAGGTTATAAGCAGTTTATAATCTGAGCCATAGAGCCTGTGATTCTTTTTCTTCTTCTTTCTGTGTCTCCCTCAAATGACCCCTTACTTCTGTCAGAGCTCCTACAGTGGAACCTTGTGCTACATGACAACCATCATGAGAGAGGATGCACGGAGCTCTGGGCCTCTCTGCATCTGCCACGTAATAAATATCTCAACTCTGTTAAACACACAGTATTATTTTTTCTATAGTAGGGCCTTAATCACTGTACACCCATGTATATCCTAATGTACTAAGTCAAGATTAGAGCACTGGGAATAAAACAGAAGTCTGCGTGTCCCGTTTCATAATTCAAAACGGTACTGCCAGCCATGTTCCTGGTGTTTCTTTGGCTTGCTCTTTTTTCTTTATGGTTTTGTCTGCAGAAGATTTTCATTTACTGTTCTTTATCAGAGTTATGTTATCCCTGGATTTCCAGTTATTTGTCATAATTCTGTTCTTGAGCATTAACTATCATTTTAACTTAAACCCTAGGTTTAATTATTGATGCTTTTGGTGAGTTAAGAGATCAGCAAGAGCAAGTTAAGGAAGACATGGAGGTAAGAATATTCAGCTGCTGAACCATACCTATTTTCAGATTTCACGTGTGTGTTTTCAGTCAAAATAAGATTTGGAGGTGGATAGTTTTCAAACTAAGAGGAAAATACAGTCCAGTACATGATCTGATATCATACAATGTGAATTATAAGGAATTGCATGTCTGTGGCTATTTAAGTCTTTTGAATCTTCAAACTAGAGGTTTCTAACACAACTGCCATGTTACATTTCATCTCAGATGTAATTTTCTTCAGCTAATATATGTGTGAAAGTATCTTGTACTTTGTGGTTTCCTATTCTATCATTGAAGTATATATGTTAGAAGTCAGGAAAATGTTACAAACCATCTGTGCTTTGTAATGTCAACTTGGAGCATATTCAGTTTCAGCTGGCAAGCATTGAAGTAAATATTACCATGGGTCACAGTAAGTGCTGCTTAACAGTAGAAATGTCAGCTGTGACCATTGTACACTATTCTGTCTCCTGATACCTGTTCACTTAGAGCTGGCAAAGATTTATATTTTTAAACAGTAAGAAGCTATTCTGAGGGTATCTAAGCTTTTATTCAAGTGTTTTTACTGAAGTATCCAGTCTGGATCATTAAAAGAAAAGCCTTTTTGTTCAATGCGTATTATAAATGCTGCATTGCTATTTTCAAGAAAATTTTTACCTTTTTTTTTTGCCTTTTCTGAAAGCAGAGCAAGTGTTATTTGTAGTGTTGAAGTGCTGTGTATTCTTTCTTGCAGACGAAGTGCTTTATCTGTGGAATAGGAAATGACTACTTTGATACAGTGCCTCATGGCTTTGAAACACACACACTACAGGAGCACAACTTGGCCAATTATTTGTGAGTACACTAAAAATGCACTCTTCACTAACTCATGATCCTTGCAGCCTTCACAGGTACCTGATTACCTCTTTTGCATAAGTAATAGTCAGTACTGTTTGGCTTTGGTGTACACTTACACTTTCTGAATGTCTAATTCTGTGGTAGTGACAGCAAGGAATTAAGTTTCATATCCTGCTTTCCAGCTTGGTTGTGGCACAAGAAGTTTGTAGGTGGGAATGAACTTGATATGTGGCTGCAGAGGCCACATTAATTGTAAAATTGAGTGAGGTGTGTAGGGTACAGAGGAGCAGTATGACCTGGCCGGGAGACTGGTGGAAAGAGAGAACAAACACAGGAATAGGACAAAAAAAACTTAGATTGGACAAAATATTTTGTGTGGAGAGCTGAGGCTGACAAAGAGGACTGGGACAAAGGGAGGTAGGGGAACTATAGGGACAAGCCAGAAATGAGAGGGATTAACCAAGGGCATCAATCAGGTCCACTTTTGGAAAATCCAAGAAGAGCAGCAGTGACCACTAAACTAAATAAAGCCAATTATCAGATCTAAAATCACTGTTTCATACTGTTCCTCTCATGTATGAAAAATGCAGTGTTAGAGTGTACTTTATACTAGTGCTATCATTATGAAGCAGGGGATCTGGATTGTGTCTTTGTGTTTTTAAACTCACTGTATATGCACAAAATAATGAGACTGCAAAGTCAAAAACGCCTATAAAAACTTTCCACCCAAAAAACAAGCTGTGCAAAGAAAATACATTAAAGCACTATCATACAGGTTTTTGTTCCTATTTACTAAATAGTGAACAAATAGCATACTATAGCATACCTGAAGTGCCTCAGCCTGAGGAACTGGGTTTTTTTCTTTTTGTTCATGATCATATTTTATGTTTTTACATATGTTTGGAGAGAACGTCTCTTATGAGTGAAATTTTGAAATTTTGAAACTTGGTGAATGTCAGCTCAAGCCCTCAAGACTAATATTTGTTTTTTTAAAATTGCAAGTTATTTTCTGCTCATGTTAATCTTGCATACACTACTAAAATACCCCCAACCTATAATTTCAACAACAAAAGTCTCTTAGATATCTTCAGCATTTTTTATTCAGTGTGTAAAGAGTAAAAAAATTTCCATTGACCATTTTCTGTCTACTTCCAAGTGGGTTTTCATGGGCAAGGCAATATCTGTTGTAATTTTTGGATTAGAAAGTATAGAAAATCTTCATTTAAGATGAGTTGCTAACTTCATTAAGTCAAACTGACTATTATGCATTTTAATATTCTACTGTTTGAACTGTGAATGTCAGCAGTGTCAGGAAAGTGTTTAATCTGTCTCAGAATAGTATCATAGGTAGAAATCTGGAACTTGTAAGTCCATGAACAGCATTATACTGTACTTGCTGAAGAATATTCATCTCCTTGTGGGTTGCCTAACATTTTCCAACACTTTATTCACAATAGCTGTTTCTTTCTTTGCTTGTAGGTTTTTTCTGATGTATCTTATTAACAAAGATGAAACCGAGCATACAGGACAGGTAGGTTGAACAACTCTATTAATGTCAGCTGATTCTAAAATAAAAATCATTCAGGCTTGGAAAAACTAAATTTTTTCTAATGGATAGCCCCTGTATGGTATGGAATTTAATTTTCATTCTTCTAAGTAATTATTGAGACTTTGTTTTCTCAGTGTTAGGGAGTATAAATTCTGTAGCACTTTCTATTTATTTTTTGGTATCTGAACCTGTTGTTTTTAAATTTTTATTTCCACAAAATATAAATACATACGATAAACAAAAATAATGATAAACAGAACATTGAAGCATTCTGTGAAAGCAGCACTCTTCATTTCTCTCTTTTGTTTCTTTTTATAATGGTTTTTGTCTTTCATTATTATCATCTACATATAATCTTCTTTGTCTATATTCCTGAATAAGTCCATATTAAAGAACTTGTGCATATATTTAAAACAAAAAATATGTGATCTTTTCTCTGGAGGTTCCTTCTCTGTTCTTTCAAACTTCTGGTGCCCCTTTCAACTTCCTTTAAGTATATTAAAAGTCACCAGGAAAAAAAAATTTAGTCTTTCTTTCCTAGTGATAGTCTTTCAGCTGACTAAGGAAGTTCCTGTATTGGAGATCAAAATGCAAAATAACTGAATAGTATCACATATATAGCCCTACAGACTTGGGTCAGAGGGATGATTTGCTATAAATCTATGTAGCTTACTCTTTTGAACTCTGACATGTGTGCTGTAATCATGTTATTTGCATAAATCTCAGATTTGTCCAGTACGAGATTTTTTGTGTTTGCTTTGCTATTTTTGAACATCCATTTTTCATTTGAGAATTTAATACTGAGATGTTTTAACGTCTTTTTTATTTGCACTTTCTGTTTTCTTGGCAGTGTGTCCTACTGTATTCACTGAAGACAGGTTTCTACTAACTATTCAGCTTTGATACTGCTAGTTTTAGTTTGAAAATGAATGTACTTCATACTACATAACTTCTAGGAATATGCTTTAGTGGTGGACTTGGCACTAGTTTATGGTTGGATGCAATAATCTAAAAGGTCTTTTCCAACCTAAATAATTTTAAGATTTAAGAATAATTTTCTGTAAGTGGTGCAACATATGCCCTTTTTATCATGAAAGTTGCATAATAAAAACCATATTTAAGTGGTGTGATTAAAATAGAAATAAAATCACATACTCTTTACTATTCTTTGGAATGTCTCAAGAAAGAACCCTACCCAAACAAATAATCAGAAAGTAAGAAATACCAAATGCCACTGACTCAGAAAATACTGACAATAAAGGTCATTTTGGCTTATGTGTTCTTTGTAGACATGTTCTGAAATGACTGATGCAGAAATTCAAACAAATTTCTATGACATAAAATATTCTGCTTATCCTGCTATTTGTCTTGTGGCCAGCTTTAATTGAGCTGTGCAAATGTGCAAAAAGAACTAAACTACCTGATTCTCTTCTGTGCATTTCTATAGTGCTTTTTGACCGGGTGACAAAAAACTAAAAGCTATTCTAAACTAATCAAAATCATTAACATGATTTTGTAGATTGATGTTCAACAACCTGGCGTGCACAGAATCAAAAATGTGAAGTGATATATGAATAAAAGAAAAAAAAGTAATGGTTGATGGTTGCTCATTAAATCAAGTTAAGTAATTCAAACTGTGTTTCTTTCAGGAATCATATGTGTGGAAAATGTACCAAGAACGATGCTGGGAGTTTTTCCCTGCTGGTGATTGCTTCCGAAAGCAATATGAAGACCAGCTCAACTAAGCAAAAATGAGGATTTCTGGACAAAAATGTCCTTGTATTTCCCATCTCTTTTGGGAATGTCTAAAAGATTTCGTAAATCCCCAAAGCTGTGTGCATTTTGGAGCACCAAAGCTCTGTTTTTAATGACCCAACTGCACTTTTATTTTCTTGTGTATTTGCTTTGAGAACACTGGAGTAAAGAACAATGGAAAATTACAGCAACTTTGGAACCAAACCAACCACTTGCACAGGCAAAAGATGTCCCTATACATAACATGCACATACAAGTAGAGACTTGAGACAGCTTATTTTTGAAACTGCCAGATGATACCCTTGTCTAAAAGATCACACATGGGGTGACATGGTAGCAACACTCATTTGGTCTGTTTATTTCATCATCCTGGAAGGAACTAAAAATATAGTTCACAGAGCACCGTAAAAGATTGATGTGGACACTAAGTTGTGGGGAAATAGTGCCTTACTATATGTGGGTTGAGCTATGCAGAAGATGAGTGCATGATGACATTTTTATTTTTCTTTTTCTTTACGTCTTCCCTTCCAATTTAGTATTTATTTTGTGGTTTTGGTGGGTTTGGGAGGAAGGGATTTGATTGTGCACATCTTTTTAATAAGACTGGAGTGTCTCAGGACAAGATTAGGTTATTCTCATCAAGTTAATTTCACATTTACCTTCCTCTTTAGCTTTTGCTCTTATTTTGGTAATGCTCTGATACAACACTGCTACTTTATGAAATCTTTGTATGAATACAAGACAGCTGCAAAAAACACTTTAACAAGAAATGTTTCATTGCATGTTTATTATGCAAGTTTAAAACAATCAAAAAACAACCTTCAGAAACAAGTTGATCAACATGAAAAAACATTCACAATAATTATATCCATAGTAATAAAGTGTTGTGGGCTTTATTGTACATCTGGAACAAGTGTCATCAACCAACAATATGAATATATGTTATGAATTTGACAGTAATTTTGGTTTCTTTATTTTTTTTCTTTCTTTCATTTCTGCCACCTGTGATCGATAGTGGAGTTGAAGATTTTCTTGTTAAATTATTTTTTAAAAGCAAAGCTGAAGCAATATCCATTCAGGGACTCCATCAGTTGCATCATGAAACACCAATGATGTGTACATTACTCCATTTTGAGTCCTTTTCAATTGTAATGCCAGTCTTTACAAATAAAAAGAGACATTCAGAATGGAAACAAGTTGGTTTTGGTAGCATTTGAAGTCTTTTTAATTGAATCTTTTTATCAATCTCTGAAATAATTTCAACGACATCAAACCAGGATTAAGCTACTCTTTCCTTAATTAAAGGTTTTGGTACTGTTTTTGGTCTTTTGTCCTGGACTTCTTGCTCTTCTATTGCTCTCCATTTCTTTACAGGTCACAGTTTTGTCATAAAAGAAATTATCTGTACAAGAATTCAGTTATAACTTAAAAAATTAAAAAAATAAAAATTTACAATTAAGGGAATAATCACGCAAAAATGCTCAAGCTGTAATCTTAAAAGCCAGGCTTTCAGTTCTGTGAATTTTGCCGAATTTGGTATTCTGTTCACTGTTCTGGTAAAATTCTCTCAAACTTTGCAAGATTTGAGGCCAGAGTCTGGGCAGTTTGGTGACAGTGCAAGGGACAGGTACAGCAACTGCAATTTGTATTCAGTTTTTAAACCACTCCCACCCAGACTGGAATGTTCAGTCCAGTTCTGTTTCCTCCCTGTTTGGAACAACTTTATAAAGCACCTTTATTCAACCTTTCTGTGATTTGTGTCTAAGAAATGGGGGGGGGTATGGTCATGTTTCTTTTTTGGGTGTACACATGAAAATAGTTCTTGTCTGACACATGTAGGTACACAGGTTATTTTAGTTTGGCACATTTTGGAGAAAAATATATAGCTAATGATTCTGAGGGATATTTCAAGATTCCGTTATCTTCAAAAGAAATTCAAATGGGCTTTGTAGGTAAATACCAGAATAAATGTGACATGTTTCTTTGGAACCTCAAGTTCCAAGTCCAAGAACTCCTGAGGCATCCTTCCTATTGAATCCAGTGTGCTGTTTAACAAATATTTGTGAAAGCCAAACTTAAACACCAGAGGTTTTTTATGATGAGATCTACTGATTATATGGTAAAAGGTTTAAGTGTGAAAAATCTTCGTTTATTAAATCAATTACAGTTGTCACAGGAGCAAATTCCTACATCTAGCAACTGGTTGGGGGAGTTTACAAGATTAGTGTTCAGTGCTGAAAAAGGATTTGGACTTGCTTTAACAGAGCTTCAGACCCTGGTTTATGCAGCCCCCTCTGCAGTGGCTGTAGCTTTCTGTGAGTCCCTGAAACGTAGCATTTCCTGTTTGATGCACCAAGTTTGTCATGGAGAGACTTTATCTTAATGGGTAATTCAACAAAAAAGCGTCTAATGTGCCCTTCTAACAGGATAATATTCAAGCAGTCCACATACTATATAATACACACTGTAGGATACAATTTAATATTGTTCAATTTTTTTAGCCTTAGATGAATTTGGAACAAAAAAATCTTGGATTTTACTGAAAATTAATGAACTTCCTGTGACAAATGCTATGTCTTTGAATTTTTGTGTTGTAAACAATCAACCAATACAGACAATTCACACCTTTAATAGTTGCATCAAAAGAAATTAACATTGACACAAGTGTCCTGTGTACTAGTGCAATTTACAAGAACAGGTGATAATAACATGTCATTTAAAAACTGCAGTTTTGGATCCAAGATACTAAAAAAGATGGTGTTTATGCATGTTATATTTAAGGTAAGGTTATACTTACACATGCATTTGTGTATGCTAATGGTTTTTTTTCAGCTGTTAGTTGAATTTACTGATTGTGTCAGTAAAACATCAATTTTCAGGGGAAAAATAAAATGTCTTCATTATTGGGAAAAAACCAGACATGTTTTTTGCTGTTTATCTCTGAATGTCAAAAAAAATGAGAAAACTTCCAAAACTGATGATCCCAGGGTATTAATGTTGATTTCAGCAAAGAAATGAAGAAATGAAAAGCAAGAGGAAAAAAGAGTAGTTGGGGTGTGATTTATTTGTGGAAATTGTTACCTCCTTATATATTGCTCCCTTTAGAGATAACAGTTTTTACACCTTCTTCTGATAATCTGTTCTTATGTCTTTCCTATCCCTTAAAGTTTGAAGCTTATCTGTGTCTTTTTACTGAGACAATCACAGAAAATAGGAAGGGAGAAAATGGTTCTCTAATATCCTTGGCCCCTGCATGATGACAAGATTAATCCTAATAGCACTAATATGCTATTTAAGTTGTTCAATATTTAAATTTTTACTATCTCCCTGCTGTTTCAGAGGTCTTACTAATATGAATTGTATTCATGTTTATTTCTATAACTATGATAATATTCTTGCCATCTTAAGAGGTACTGAATAATTCAGTTTACTTACATAATCACCTGTGAAGTATTTATAGTATGTAATATTTTCTAAACTAGAATATTTAATTTATTTAATTTTTTTTGTTCATAAGCCAAAACAAATGTAACTGGTGTCCAGAACAATCTTTGTCAAATAAGACATCTGTCAGAGAGCATGGGTGGGTATATTCTTTGGTTAAATCTAATATTTATGCTCATAAATACATCCTCTGCAATCTCTCTCCTTTAAGTCATAAATACTTTTATTTGTATAATTACTTGCTTTTTTTTCAGTTTTCTTCAGCTTTTCTAAAGCCATGCCAAAGCATAGAAGCTATGCTACAAATAGAATATCAGACTATACAGATCTTAAATAGTTTCTCACAGAGAATTTGCAAGCTATTTAAGCAAAAAGATGTATTTATTCTTGTTTTAGGGTTTTTTGAAGATTTTTTTCTGGATTAGGTTTTTTATTTTCATCTGCATAACATTTTAAATGTATCCATGCAACTCCTTCCATTTTACTCACAATTATCTTTTTGGTTTGGATACCGTGAATTTGATGTTTAGGCAAAAGGATGCGTCTCTCTTATGTGGTAGAGAGGACCCTTCTCAGCAGTGAATGAAAATCTCCATCAGCAAAACAGCATCCTTCTCTGTCAGTGGAGGTCAGGAGTTGAGGCAGTTCTTGATATCAGCAGCTTGCTTTTGTAGTAACATGGCTATGATCTAACCTGCAGTTACAAAGGCTTAACCTATTCATTTTCTCCTGGATGGGAACACCTGAGCTAAAGTTCTCGTGAAAAGAACAAGTTGAAATTTTTGGAGTGGAAGGGGGAAAAGCTGAAAACCTCACAATTAAAACAAACTGAAGGTCATTTATGTCAGACCATTGTGTAAATGCTCCAAGTTTGCTTGCAAGATGCAGTCACTGACTTTCTCTGTAGAAATTGCAGTTACACAGAATAAATACCTCTCCATCTAAATATATTTAAAGTAAAAACCTTTGGAATGCTGAAAAGACGGTTAAAGAATTCTGGATTGTGGAAATTGAGAGCTGAAATAGATCAAAAAGTTTTGGTTGGTTGTAGCGTGCTGGCTATGGCTGGGGAGATAATGAATCCACGACTCGTGCTTCAGGTGCTCATGAGACAAAACAGCCTCGTTTATTATTCAGAACTCACTTAAATACTCAATTCAAATTTCCCGGGCTAGACAGCCATTGGCTGATAGTTCTCTCCTGCCCAGTGTCCTGGCCAGTGGTGTGCAGTGGTTCAGACATGAATTAGGCTAGCCAAACTAGATTTGTGTTACGGCTAGATTTACTTTGTCCAGTCCAGACACTACTGCAACAGTTGGTTGTTTTTAATGCAGTGCTAGGAGGATAGAATGAAACTGTGTAAATTGATTGCACTGAAAAAATAGAACCGTGCTGGGAGAATCAGAGAAAGGAAAATCCTCAGGTCCTATAACTCCAAGTGAATAAATGGAAGAAGTGTAAAGGGTCATGCACTGTTACATTTCTTCAGAGATTAAAAAATTGCAGTAATTTTGAAGAAGTGTTGTTCTCAGTGTTATCTGCATGACAGGCACAGTGTGGCTCAAAGAAGTGTTACTCTGTGAACCATGCTGTGCCTGTCGTGCAGATCAGCTGGAAGGGAGGAGAATGGATGACATCTGGCTTAAACACTGGCATCCAGTGAGGCTGCTGTTCCCTCCTGTGGTAATGCGCTCATGCTATGCTCAGTGCATCCAGTTCCGAAGGAGCCCCTTCCCATTTCCCTCAGTGCCAGGGGAAGGAAGACAGCTGAACATCTGTGTTCTCTCTTTGGTGTTGTCTGCTCAGTCCTCTGGCAGCAGGCCGTGCACCGCTGTAGCTGCTGGTGCGCACGCACTCGCAGACGCTTCCTCGTGAGAACAAATTGAAGTTAAATTGATTAGACAGCTGCTCAGCACTGACAGAAAGGCATGTCCTTTGATCGTGTGGTCTGTCCTAATGGAAGGAAAGTTGAAAATTCACTGACTAGGAAATAGAAAAAAATGAATACCACTGGACCGTATAGCAGCACTTGATTTTTGACTCTGTCCAAATAAGATAAAATTTCAGGTACTAAGTAAAATATTGTGAATTGTTTAGGTATCTTCAATCTGTATTAAAATAAATGACTTCATAGTTTTGATGTAACTACTGATCTGCTTTAAAGTACTTTGCAATGTTACCCTAAGGTATTAATAAAGCAAGTTGTTGATTTTGAATATTAATCATATAATATCTCAAGTTGGAAAGGACTCATAAGAATCACCACAGCTTGATGTAGTTCCTTGTTTAAAAATATTATCATCCTTGATGATCATCTATGTACCCAATTTTAAGCCAATTCAAGTGATAGGGAAAATTATATATTTATCATTCTCTGAAGCACAATGTTTCAGAAAAGAGCAGTGGTTCACAGTGCTCTGTGCACATCTGGAAGACCACTCAGTCTTTAAATAAATCTGACAGAATGGAATGAACTTTGGACAGGAAATACTGACACTGGATTTATTTTCTTCACTGATTCTTTATGCTTGGATGAGTGTGGAATTAATAATGATTTAAATACAAGAATGCAAAGATACATCCATAATCTCAGAATTTGTCTCTCCCTGATTTAGTTTTCATTATTCTTGACTGTAATGAGGCAATTTTTCTTTCTGTTTGCTCAGACTTCTGCCCCATATCAAGGGGCTAATATCACATACTTTGCAGTACTTGGAAGTAATCATATACAAAGGCCAAAATAATCCTGGATAATTTCAGAGAAAAACTGAATATAATTTTCCTAACTGACAGTCCTTGGTGATATACGAAATGCATTTCTTGTTTAAATTTTGCTTCTGTGAATGATTTCAGAAGCCCTCTGGAGTGTCGCAGACTGGAAATCATTCTTTTTATCTTTTTCCAAACCTCTATTTGTCTGAATGTTGCTTAACATCTAAAAAGTATGCAAATATAAATTAGGAACTTTCTAGTACTGAGTGCTAATAGCAATCTCCAAGGTATATAATCAATAACCTGTGCAGTTTTTACTTCTATCTGCATCATGGAGCTGATGTGTAATTAATTACTAATTAGTAATAATGTTGTCATAAGGAATCTTTGTGCAGGCTGAATTACAGTAGCCTCTTATCTGGACTTATTTGCTTGTAAAAAAAATAATAATCAAAGTAATTAATATGCCTGCAAGACTAATGTATCTTTCACCTAGATCATTCTTATTCAGGGTATGAGCTCCTAGCCAAAGGAATCCAACAGACTTAGAAAGGACTGAGGGGCAATCTGAATAATACTGCTCAAAA